TAGTAACACTTTCTTTGCTGAGTATTTTGAGTGTCATTCATTGTGACTGAAATGAAAGCGAACTCGAGCTTTGGACACCAAGGCAACAAAGTCTTTTGCTTTTGCTTTTCGGCTTTAGAGCGCTTTTTACTGCTTTGTTTCATTTAGCTGTCGTTCAGCTGCCAGTTTATCTGCAACTCAAACTCTATGGCATTTTTATACCCGTTGTTGCTGCCTTTGGAATTGTCAAAGTATATTGCTCATGGCCTTGTGTTAATTTTTAGGCAAATCCTCTGAGAGTTTTCTTTTTCGAGTTGTAAGGCGAATGAAATTTCATTGCAATTATGCTGAAACAATTTCCTGTAGGTGGTACCGTTTTATTAAGCAAAGATTTTTAGGATTAAGGAATAACTTATTTCCTTCCTCTGCTGTAATACATCCTTAAAGGATCTTATTTCACGTTTTGCCTGCTCAAGTGAAGTTACTTATTTTAGCCTGCAACATAAATTACAGAAGGCGTCAACCTATTAAGGATATCAAAAAAACTAATCTTTTAATTAATCATATGATTAATCACAAGCAAAAAAAAATTAATTTCCATTAATTGTAAGTATTGTGAAATAATCGATTAATCGAATTTTTCAAGGCACTTTTTTACAGTGGGTAATTAGTTTTGACAAGCGTTTCTTGGTGGCTGTAGCTCCAGCTTTTGAAAAAAAAGTGCTCAGCAGGCACCGAGGTACCAACTAAATGACAGTTTTCATTTCTGCCGTGCGTCCATGACATTCCGCTTTAGTTCGTGGACTTGACAATTTAAATAAAAACTCATTTCGTCTGGTGGGTGACCCAAATCATCATCTTTTCGCTTTCCTTTGTGTACAAGGGATTTATGAGAAGCCCAAAGATAGAACTCATTTTCTAGTGATTCTAGTGACGACTCGCTACTCGTTTCCGTAAGATCATCTGGCATTTTATATCATTATGCAAGAACTTCATTACAGAGGCCAATGCTAACGGATGTTTGCAGCTATCAATGGATGGATTTTAGACAACTTCAGAATTCATATTTCTTGAAAATATTTTTACGATTATTTTAGAATTAATTGATTAATGAAACACAAAACTATGATACAATTAAATCATAAATTGGACAAAAATAATCGATTAATTTAATCAAATGATTAATCGCAGCCATCCCTAATACCATTTATGGACTAATAGAAGAAGTGGCCTTGCAAGATTTAAATTTTATAATTTATTGAATTGCTTATACGAGTATTAGTGCGTTTTTCGTATGCCTTAGTTCACAGCGAATAAGTACTCAATTTTTTTTTTTTAAATACTATATACACATCACTAGGGGTTGGATTTGTATGCAAAAAAAGCCTAACAATATGCGCCATCACAACTATAAACAAAATACAGTTAGCGTCAAATATATGAATATCCCGACGTTTTGACGATTTTATTATGTTAAATTTTTCTTAGTCTTTTATCAAAATATAATTCATTCAACAGCAAAAACCACAAGAATCAATCTTTTAATTTCATACAGAACTCGGGGGAAAATGCAAGAAATACCAAACAATTTCCATCAAAATTAAACATTTTTCAACTCGATTACGTAGACAAATTTTGAGTAATGAATAAAAGTCTTTAATAACTGTTATCTAAGACATAATATAAAAATCAAAAATAACTGTTATGTACAGATTATTTGTATAAAAATCAAAAATAATTGTTATTTTGTATTAGTAAAATAGATATCAAAAGTAATTGTTATTTTTTTTTTTAAGTTTGCACACAAATTACAAATAAAAATTTTATTTTGAAATTTGATTCTCGGTGAAAAAAGAAATCGATTGGTATGTATCACTTAGTTGTAGAACATTTCCTTCATAGTGAGATTTTCAATGACCGTTTTCATCAATAACTGTTATGTTCGGTTTCTGGATTTGAGAACATTCAAGAATTACATTGAGAAACCCATCCTACGTACAAAAGAGTTGCTGCAACTCCAAGCGAACTCACCATCAGATACTTACATACATATATTCAATTTTGAAACTACATCAATAAATACTAGGAGCAGTACGTAAGCAATAAGCAAAATGTCATGTGAACGCAATTATTTGAAACCACAGCTGCTTATCGCAACGGAAAAAAAATAACCAAAGGCGGAAAGTAGAAGATAAATATTTACAGCATTGTAGTAGGGAGAGCTCATCTTTAAAAAAATAAATAAATAAGAGAGAACCATATCCACTTTGGGCTTCTATCGCCCTTTAACAAACTTAAGCACTTAATATTGTCCACCGGGCCGTCACTTCCTTCGGCGTTGTTCCGCAACTCGCCCGGAATTTCTGTTTATTTGCTAAGTGTCTGCAAGTTCAACCAAAATTGCTGTTGACATTATTCCCTGGACAGACAATTTTCCTGCGCTAAAGACTAACGCGTCTCTAATCGAACTCGAAGATGCTCGAGCAGTGGCAATAAATATTTCTGATTTGAATAACATTTGTGTTGCAGCTGGCATACGCTTTCACCCAACAGACAACAACTAATCGCCACTGGCAGTCTCCTCTTCTCCCTGCACAGCTTATTTATTGTATTTATACAAAGTCTCGATATTTATTTGATATTTTGTGATTTCATTTGCTTCGATTTAGTTATGCTTCCCAAAATCATTTGTTGATTGTTTGTTTTCCCCCCCCCCCCCCCCCCCCCCATACCGTCCTATGAATTTATTTGTGATTTCAGTGCGACAATATTTTATTGCATTTGCTTTTGCTTTGCTTGCCAACTTACCAATTTGAGCCAAATATTTGTTATAAGCAATTGGTTCTTCTCGTCCTGGAAAGAAAGAGAAATATGAAGAAGAGAAAAAAAAAATTAGTAAGAACATCACTAACTGCGAATTTTAAGTATAGTTTTTGTTAGTGGTTTTGTTAGTAGATTTCAAGGAGAGTTTTAGAATATATTGTTAAATTTGCTGTACTTATGTTACTGACATATGTAACATACATATATTAAGTGCTTAAATATAAAACAGATGTCAATGCTTTTTCAATCGAATCACAAAAAATTAGATTTTGACGGCATCACCAAAAAATGTTGCGGTTTCCGCCGGAATTACCTAGAGAATTTATCAATAAAAATGGTTTCTTAGAGGATTTTTTTGAAGAGAGTCTTCTAAGACAACAAAACAGTTTAAACTTAAAAAATCCGCATAAAAATTTTAATAATAAGATTTTAGATGCTGTTATTTATAACTTTTTTCAAAGATTGGTTTAAGAAAAACTTAAATAACTGCACCAAAACTCTATCGATTTAGATTTATGATATCTATAATTTCTATTTTCATCGCTTTTTATTTACTTGCAAAAGAAAAAATCATTCATGTCTCAATTTAAATTTTTTCAAATATCAACACTCCTTAATTAAACTTGGAATGACGCTTGTTCATCTTACCTATAACTTTCATACTTTGAATTAATTTATTTGCAAAGAAATAAAAAGGGTGAGAAAATTTCTTTCTAAATCGGTTAAGTTTTGGCGGAGTTTTTTAAGTTTTTCTTAAACCAATCTTTGAAAAAAATCGAAAATAGCATTAAAAATCTCATTATTAGGATTCGGTTGAAAACATTTTTTTTTATATATTTATGGAAATTTTTTTAAGCTTCAACTATTTTGCCATCTGATTTTTTTTTTTTCAAAAAATACTTAAAAAAAAATTATTTTTATTCATAAAAAACTAAATTTTCGGTCCAGCTTACGTAAATCTTAATATTTTTTCGAACTATTTTGGTGCAAGCAAGTCTTAAAATTAAAATTATTATTTATAATTTATAATACCAATAGAAACACAGTACCGATTTTTTTTTGTATGGGGGGTGATGCAGTCTAATGTACATATTTGTGTTTGCAGGGGGGATATTCTGTAACCAGTTGGCGACAATTTTCGAATCGCTATTGCACTTTTTGACACAAAAACATTTATTCATATCATGCGTCAAAAAGTGCGATAGCGATAAGAAAATTTTGACCAACTGGTTGCAGATGCTCCCCCCAGATTTAGATTTTCTTTTTTAAAGCTATTCTGATATTCATAAATTTCTAGTAAAACATTTAACGCGATGACTTGATAGCGACAACATTCAAATTTAGAATGCACTTACATAAATGCTAATATAGAGATATAGTGCATATGTTTGTTTTGTGTTAATCAAACAATTTGTCATTTGATCAATTAAATTGAGTGCTCATTTTTAATCCAATAAAAGCATTAGCGGTAATTCCTATTTTATCGTCACTTTCACTGTAACGAGTTGTTGCCGCATGTTGCGAATCAATTAAGCCTAATGCGATTGTCACTGTAAGCCATTATAATGTGCAAATGAACACACATATTTATATACGAAAATGCAGACATGCGTAGTTTGCTGATAAATCTTGGTATGGACAGGCGATAAAGGTAAATAAATGGGTGTGTGGGAAGAAATTAATTAATTATTGTAAAGCTAATCAAGATTTTGAAGCTTTTTATAAAATTACTACCAATTGTTATTGGTGTTGTTTATTTCAGGATAAAAGCGGATCTATTAGAGTCTCACAAGCCAATCTCAGTTTTATCTTCGGAGGCAAAGACATCAGAAGCTCGTATCTTCTCCAGACTAAATACTAATACAGTGCAACAAATTCCAAAAAGACTGGTAAAATGATGAAAAAGTACCAAAATATTTGCACAAGTTAATCGCCATTTTTAATGCCTTTTTGAAGTTGGAGATCTAAGAACCCAAAATGACAATATTTAATTTTGCTTTGTTTTTAAAATTTCTCTTTGAAATCAATGTAGAGTCAAGTCAAGGAAAACCTTTCCTGGAGTTACACAAATATTTTCAATTAATACCCCGTAATCAAACTTGCTAGAGTAAACCGCCGCCGCACAGTGGTCCAAAACTGGAATTAACTGCTCAAAACAGACCAGAGCGTTAATTTTTAATTCTTAATTTTTGTTTTGAATGAAAGTTACTTAAATTTCGAATAGACCTGTTGAGCCCGATGTATGAATCTTTATTTGTTTAAATTAAATATTTTAGCTAATTTTGGAGAAAATGGATTCTCTTGTGCCTGTTAATGGAGGTTACATAATAAAAACTAGTTAAAAAAATGTTGGGTTACCCCAAAACGAGAAAATATTACAAGAAAAATTTGAAATGTCATAAAAAAATGTTCACCAAAATGATTTTCCTTCGCATTTTTTTAGTTTTTGGAAAATTTTCGCACATACTTAAAACCAGGCTCATTTGAAAAGTCGATCCTTCTGCTAAAATAATGGTAATCTCTGTTATTTAATATGAAAAACCGCGATTTTCCAAATTATTTGCAGACATCTAAAACGCAGCCGATTTTGGATTTTAAAACATATAAAACCCAGGTTTTAAAAGCTACTTGACCCAAGCAAAGTCAACAAACACTGCGGGTGCTATGGAGCAAAATAAAAAATCTCCATACAGAAAAAAAAGTGTTTTAGGGGACTTTCCAAACACCTTGCCGACACCAAAAATACTTTTATTATAAAATGCTTTGTACATCAAATTAGACAGGGTATTAACTCAAATAAACTGCCTGACCCAGAAAACTTACTAAACTGCCCAAAAATGTGTGCAGTCCATTTTCGAAAGCAGTCCGTTACTGTAACGCAAACAACATGACTCTGCTCGAGAACATCCCTGATTCGTGGTGGTACATCAGTATGTGCCGCCAAATGAAGTTAGTCACCTTGGCGATGGGCCCAAATATTCAAAGCTTTTGAACTTTTAGATGTTTATTGGCTATCTCTCCGATCTTAGAAGATTCTTCACTTTCAGTAAACAACAAATTTATGCAGCAAAATTCTTCACCACACTCTTCAAAATAAGAACAACGGAGGTCAATCTAAACCACAAAGGCGCCAATATACCGACGAGAGATCACTCCGAAAAACTGATCGACGGAGTGTTCTACTTTTTCGAAAGTAATAAGGTCCTCAAGTCACATGCTCACAGAACTTGGTATGCGGACCGGGACGCTTTACTCGTGACTTACAAGGCAATTGACCGGACGGCAGTGACCTACGCTACGCCGTCAGCATCAGAGGCTGCACAGAAAGAGGAACCGGAATTAACGCGTAAGACGAAATGCACTTTGGCGCAACTGAAGTCGTGTTATTAGCGGCTGACCCTGGCTCTCCGATACCTGCTCCTACTTCTACTACAAAAAAAGGAATGAGGCAATTTTATTTTAATTTTAGCCGGGTCATACAATGAGTAAAAATTATCGAATTGCCTCTTCAGTACAAAAAAAATCTTTAAAATCGACAAAGCTGATTTAGGATGCGAATTTGATTGGGTGGAAAAAAAGGCCAGTATTTTAATTAAAAAAAAAAAATTACATTCTCTGAAAAACTGTTTGTGAGCCTCATAAAGGGTTAAAACCCAACTTCTGTTATATCAAAAAATGTTCTAAGTACTTTTTTGTCAAAGTTTCAGTAGATTTTCCAATTAAATCACTTTAAATATTCAGAAGTCGTATATATGTATGTTCACTTAATAAATTATATATAAATTTCAAATATTTTACCACAATTTAATTGCCACAAATGCCCTACTCAAATTCTCACAAAATTTCCATTGGCCATTTGCCAGACAGCTAATCATTTTTGCACTATGGCCTAAATTAATTGCTTTTGTGTATTTTTTATCTAAATTAAAAATTCGTATTTGTTGTTATTTTATTTTATGTAGGCAATTATTTGAAAATAAATTAAATTTGCCATCACACAAAATGTAAAAACAAACAGTTGTGCAGAAAAATTGCAAACGGAGTAGTACAAGAATAATTGCAAATATTTGTGGCAACGATTTGACGAGCGCATTTTCGTTTGCCGGCTATGAAATCGAAAGCTCAAGCATTTTAAAAAACATAGCTTATAAATAAATAAATAAATAATAAAACAAAAAGAGATTGGACCTTTAACAAGCTTAACCGCAGAGTGATTGCGCAATTAGTTAGTAAATTAAAAAGGTGTGAGCCACAATGGCCGATTGGCACTGCGATAAAAAATATATATTTACTTATATGTATAAGCAAAACACATACATATGTATGTATAGGCATGAACATTACATATAGGCATTTTTTAGGAAATCTTAATTTTTCGAATAAAGCTCGCCAAAACGAATTAACTCTTGTTGGGGAAGTTTTTAAACTATTAAAAAAAAATTTAATGTTGAATGTAGGTGTTACTGGAAAATGTAAAAAGGCTTAAAAAAACATTATTTTTCGAAATTGTCTTTCAAAAATTCATTAATTTCGAAGGGGTACTTGGATTATTTTTTTTTTTTTTTTTTTTGTAAGGTGGTGCGGTCTAATGTGCATAGCTAAAGACATACTTATGCATGTCTGCGAAATAAAATGGCGAAGGACACAAAAATCGCGCACGAACACACATACACACACACATTAACGTTAAAAATGCTGTTGTTGATTTTCGCATTTTCGCATTTACACAC